TTGATGATAAATATTATGTGCTTATTCTTGTTATCTAGTTTTAGACGTGTACTTTGTAAGTATTTAAATTTCTCAATATTTGCTCATCAAGTTTATGTTTAATCCGCCTCTGATGGGCGAGTTGTACAGTGAATCGTGTAACTCAATAACCAAATAAATAAATGAACCGAAACCATATGTTTTAATTTTTTTTTCTATATCAAATACTCTTGTACGAAAAACTTGTATAAATATTCAGTTCGCTTGCAATTGTTACTGTTGTCGACATAATTATTTTTCATTGAGCGTACAACGCGTTCTCAAAAAGATTGAGTATATTTTTCCCGATCGCCGAGCGTTCGTTTTCGCTTGACCAGCGCTGCACGTGCTCGATTCGCACTATTTGAGAATAATAATCCAGAAACTCTAGATAGCCCATTCAATGAAAATGCCGCACGTAAACACAACAAGTATATGCCCAATGTCTGATTCATAGGTCAAGGTTCGTTTCCAAGGTCTCTTCATCCATACGTGACAGGAACACGAAACAAGTATTCATTCGCGGAAAAATCATTTTTATCACGTACTCAAACAGCAGTTTTCCTCCACATGAGTAGGTACAGTATTTAGCGGGGCTAGATCAGGTAGCCCTAGATTGCGCTCATGTTGTTACTCCAACACAAAGGACGTATAGTAGTATCTAGTAGCCTCTAGATTTTTTTTTTTGGCATTTTCTCACGTTAATTTTATCAACGTAAACAATTTTGCCATCAATCACTTTTTGCTCCATGCATCTTACAATCTCCAGTGTACTAAATGTTCCTAACAAGCAGATGCTGAATACGACTTGATTTTATTACTCAATAAGAAAAAGAAAAAAAAGAAAAAAAAAAAAAAGGCACACACTAGGTATTGTTTAACGCAAACTTCGAAATGACCAGCAGTTGATAACATGGCTACGTGTCCAGTGATCAAATAACTACTTGATAGAAACGAGGAAATGGCTCGCCTTTTTTTCACAAGCACATATTCAAACGTAAGTGTGTGTGTGTGTGTGTGTGTGTGTGATTGACCGCCGCGTGTGACCTTGACAGTATTGCCATTCTCACCTTGAAGCTCTTCGTCTCTAATGTTTCAATTGCGGTCTATGATATAAGTGAGTATAGCGTAGCACTTATGCATAATTAAAATTGTTATTATTTTATCCTCAAATTTTTTTTTTTTTTTTTTTTTTCTATGTAACCAACGATTGTCTGTGCACTTTTACATTGTGTAAAAATGATTGTCACGCGTCGCTGTATCGTTAATATATTATTAATGGCTGGTGACTTTTTCGACCAGTAAATTTGATGTGCTCGACATGCGTTCCTGAGATTCAGATGGGTTTTTTTAATTTTATTTTTGAATAAGCACTTTTATTGCGCATAACAATAGCTTCATCATTAATTTGTGAATGATCGAGTAATTATATTATTCATACGTATGATTTTTAATTCATTTCGAATTCTTTTATTTTTTTACGTTGCACTCACTTATAAAATTTTGGGTAAATTTGCAATGACAAGCAAATAATTGTACGCTCTTGCATTATCGATGTATAATCTAAAATGTCATTATTCTTCGGCGCGACGAAAAAATTTCTCAGGGAAAAAATTATTGCATAATGAAGAATGACAACCTCACTCTAGCAAATAATACGCGTATCGTGATAAATGACAAGTGCTTCGAATGAATGCAGGTTCAAGCGTTTGAAAATCATCGTGACAAGCGCAGAGGAGAGCTCTTTGAGCACATGACATAATAGCCATAACGAGGATGACGTAAACTATTGCGATCGTGCAAAAAACGTAGGAAAAAAAAAAAAAAATAAAATAAAAATCATAGTCACAGGTATATGCAACGTGGATAAGATTATAACCATCGATCTAGCTTGGTATAGTGCAGGGAGAGCCGGGGAACAAAAAATAAGTGGCGCATGTCGCGATAAGAAGACACACGGAAAAACCCCTGTGCCCTTCAAATCAAAGCGAGCCGATCTTCCTTTTTTTTTTTTTTTTTCTTTTTTTTTATTACACATAATTACCTTTACTTGGCTCGAAACTATAGTGTATAGGTGCCTATATCCACACGTTTACCTTTTAGCAATCGCTTCGTTATTATTTTCCTCCCGCGCGAAAAGAACAGAATTCACTTCAATCCTCTAATCGACTAAAATTTTATGAAATGTCAGCTAAAAGATTGTTATAACTGTTATCATCGTCGCGATTCCATTTAAAGCTTACAATGTATAATGCGTAAGAAAAAAAAAAAAAAAAAAAAAAAAAAAAAAATAACCGTTCCAACTTATATTTACTTTCGATTTGTTGGTGTCTAAAATTATCGTCTCTCCTGTCCCTAGATTTTTTTTCCCTCGCCTGTCATCCTCCTCCTCCGTATTCCATTATTACACCCATTCGGAGAAAACCATCACCTTGAATTTTAAAATTCACCGAATGTACCTTTGTTGGAAACAAAAATCTTCCGTACACGTGCATGTTTCATTCGCAAGAAAATCATAAAGCTTGCGCGAAGGATATCGGGGACGTTGAATCCTTAAACCCCGCGAGCGCGAAACAAGTGCAGAGAACTTGACTTCTTGCATCACGGCTACCTGTTGCCTCACGGTGACGATATACACGACACGTACTCGCATACAAACGCACGATGATAATTATCCATACCGTATACATGAGCTTGCCCGGATGACTTGCTCGTTTACAAAAGTCATAACTACTCTTGTGTGTGCGTGCCTGCTTTTATATATATTTATATATACGTATCTCGCGAACGTCGGCTTGGTCGTATTGGCGCCGCCGCATTTTCAGTTTTGTGCCGGTCGTTGCGCGAGCCGTGTCTTGCTATTTTTCCTTCCTCCGTCAACCCTTTTTTTCTCGTAAGGGTTGTGCTGCTGAAGCAAATAATTCACGGACCAAGACGCGTTAGCTGTTTTTTTTTTTTTTTTTTTTTTTTTTTTTTTTTTTTTTTTTTTTNCAAAATGCGACACTCGACGCATCCAGCATTTGAATGTAATTGAAAAAAAAAAAAAAAAAAAAAAAACCATACTTCCCTCGGCAAAAGATCGGTAGTGGTCGGTACATGGTATCGCGTCGTCGTCACTATACGGATGCACTCTTTTGGACGGTCGTGTAGGAATACCGGTTTTTACACTCATCATGCACGGGCGCATCATCTCACTAAGCGTCCTCTCTTCTTCTTCGTCTTGGGTTCTCCCATTTGAATTTTTTTTTTTTCTCTCTCCTCCCTCTCTTTTTCTGTCGCGCGCTTCCCTCTCTGATGGAATTTTGGATACCACGTCTGTTATGGTAGTATAAGTAAGAAGTACCTTTTTTTATGTGCATTGCATCAGGCCACATTATACATACCTCTGCATGATATATGTCTCTCTTATCTGATCGTGCGTGGGTTCACACGTGCACGAGTTTTGCTTCCAGTGCACATCGACTCGTTGACGGGGACGGACCGTCAATTTTTCTCTCTCTCTCTCTCTCTGTGCGTTTGGGTATACATAGCACCGAGTTGTTTTTTCTTTTCCACTGTCATATTTGTCCATACAAAGCGAGCTCGCAAAAGCATCTATATTTTTCACGCGTTGCGCGTGTATACTTACAACCAGACGGGATAAATATATTACTGTCGCTTTTTACGCGTACAGGTATACGAGTTAATCAAATCCTCGGGTGTAGTTGGCATCAAAGTCACGGTGTAACCAAGTAATGTAGATCAGTGGTTTTTCCGTGTGTCGTGTAAGACTTCAATTCCAAGCTCAAGGTTTGCACGTGCATACACACATACACGCGGCCCTGACAATCGAATGTATTTTCGAAATTTCAATGTAATCACAATTGTGCATAATATACTATACATGTATATATATGTGTGGGCCATCAAGTGTCGCGCGTCGCCTCATTCAGTATACATATATATATAGATGTAATACGTGCATTTTATTATCAAAGTCAGAGACGGCAGTGCAATGTTTACGTCATTTCGTAACGGTCGATTATCATCCCCAGTGAGCTCACGAGGAAAACGTACATTTATATATTAATTATCTTTCGCCGTTGGGTCGAACAAAAGCTCGGACAATCGTCAATAACTCGTGCGTAGTGCTTTGCCTTTCTCGTTTGTAAAAATATATGTCACTGAATCACGAACAATTTGTTCATTCCACTAATCCTCTTTTCTTGCCCCAACTTTTCTACCAACTATAAATTTTCAATACTATGGGCTGTCGAGAGTGGAGATAACGTCTTTTTAACAACCTTTTTTTTTTTTTTTTTTTTTTTTTCATCAAACAGTTAATGAAATCGGTTTGAAACTTACGTATATATGGAGGGTGTCCTTAAAAAAATGGTATACGCCACGAAAAAAACACGTTTATTGCTAATGGACGCGGAAGCGATGAAAAAGTTGTCGGTAAAAAACAACATTCAAAAATAATCATAGCCTTGTTGCACGTGGTAAAAATCCATAAAATTCACGTGCACTTGATATATTTTTTTTTTTTAGGACGTAATGAGTCAACTCGGTTTCTTTAAATCGACCAGTCGATATCTGGCATTATTGTTATATGGGTAACAGTTTCGCCATACCTATATACTGCGGTGCGCTTGATTTTCCTTGTTCGATAAAAACACATCGCGAGAAATGAGGAAATCAATTATTATTCAGCGATCGGTAAGAAAATCGGTTGAGAGTGAACGCGATACCGTGAAGCCGTAACTTAAAATTTTTCCCCCAAATTCCATTTGGTATTTCCCGGACTCGATAGGTCTCCGGTATGATAAATTCTTGATTGGTTCGGTAGTTCGAAAATAGTCAAAAGATGATAACGATACACGTGAATAAAGAAATCACCTCTACTCCTCTTATCGATGAAAATTCGAAGAAAAAAAAATTCGTAAATATATACTTATATTAACGATCGGTTGAAAAAACAAAAATCATTGTCTATTTTACAGAGCGCTGACGCGTCGCAGCCGAAAGCCGTAAGGATGGCCGGCTCGCCAGAGTTGCCCGGTACGGAGGAGCACAGCGTGGCCGACGAGCCGATGTTCAGTATACTCGATCTCACGCTTATCGGCGTCCTGGTGCTCGCCGCCATCTGGTACATGTTCGGCAGGAAGAAGAACGAGGACTACACGTCTGTCACCAAGTCATACACCATACAGTAAGTTTATTTCCCTCGCTTTTCCATTTGGCTTCAACCCCTGATGGTTTTTACTTGCTTTATCATGACTTGTTGCATGCAACTGTCACCTGTTTGTATGTGTTTGACAAATAATGTTTCCACCTCGTAAAATCGCTCGTTCCCTTGGATGAGCGTGAAATTCATTTTGTTGCCAAAAAGAAGCAACGAGTGTTGAGTAAAGTAACGATTTTGTAGACCCACGACATATGCGCCGGTCCAGCCGTCCGAGAATTCCTTCATTAAAAAGCTCCAGTCGTCCGGACGCAGCCTCGTGGTGTTCTACGGCAGTCAGACTGGCACAGCCGAGGAGTTTGCCGGCCGGTTGGCCAAGGAGGGCATTCGCTACAAGATGAAGGGCATGGTCGCCGATCCCGAGGAGTGCGATATGGTCGGTTTTGATGATGAAAATCGAGGAAAATGCTCGAATTTGATAATAATCACAAAAGGCAGTAAGGTGTAACGGTGGGGGGATTTTGGTGCTGCAGGAGGAGCTGGTCAATTTGAAGAACATAGGCAACAGCCTGGCGGTGTTTTGTCTGGCTACCTACGGTGAGGGCGATCCTACCGATAACGCCATGGAGTTCGTTGATTGGCTGAAAACCGGCGACGCCGATTTCAACGGCTTGAATTACGCGGTGAGATTTTTTTGTTCCATTTTACGCGCATGTACCCATAACCGGTCCACTGGAAGATCTTTGTTAAGTTTTAAGCTTCTCAATGCAATCGTTTTTGTCGTTGAACCTGATGAAACGATTGCACTATGTCGTAGACATCGTTTTTCACGTGTGTTTGTATGGTGCTTCCTGTAAATTTGAGAGAAAAGCTCAAAACAGGAAGCCATTATCTCTTCTCTGTATCTCTGCAGTTGGTAGGGTAGAACTATAAAAAACGATATATTTTGCCTCGATCCAGTTTTTATGGAAAAAAAGTTCTCAAGTGCGTATGTTAAGTATATGTATCATTTTATGTTCCATGTTTTTTTTTTTTTTTTTATTTACAACAAAAAAATCATGTTTTTTCGGTTTTCCCCTTACGTATGTTATTTTCAGATAAGTTTGTTGATACCAAGAATAAATTTTTCGGAAGATTGAATTAAGTATCTAAAAAATAAGACCCATTGTAACTCCTCAGATGCAGTTGATACCTTGCAAATAACATTTTTTCTTTACAAATCTGATTATCAAGCAGGTCTAGAAAATCTACAAAAAACTGTTTAATTTTAACATCCAATTGAATAGTCTGAAATTTTCATTTTGGAGGAAGCCTTTTTCCTCTTTATATTTTAAAATTAACTCTTTATATCTTTCCCTCCCCCTCCACAAAACACAATGATGACGATGGTGAACTGGTGATGGTTCAATGATGATCAAATGATCATATGTCAGATTTACAGATGCGTGTACGTGTGTTGTATGTGTGTAATATAGTTGTACGCTAGCTGTTCGCTCGCGTCTCTCGCCAGGACAAGACGAACAAACACTGAAATAAGTAGTCTAACCTCGACGAGCTTGCAATGCTTATTTTTCAATTCTTGTTCGATGAACTGAGAAGTATAACAGTCACAACTTCGTCTATCGCGATCATTCCCTTATCTATAAATAAGTATTATAAAGTTAAAGTTCGTATGGGTTCTTGATTTTTTAAGTGACATTTTTTTTTCGTTTGTAAGCTGTACGTGGTGTTATGTAAGTGGAAAATAAAAAATATATAAATCGGAGCATTCGGTAATGCTTTGCAAAAGTAGCGATTTGAAGAAAAAAAATACATCAGTAGGTTACAGTGATACTTATATGGCATATTTTTTTTGTCTCGCGATTTGACTAATTGACAAACTAAAGAGAGGAGAAAGAGTATGGTGAAAGAGCAAAGAGGATGAGAGTTGTAAGGGCACTAGCACGTGTAGTGCTACGCCGGATCGCTTATGCACGTGTCACTAGACGTTGCACTATCGAGGGGCAGACGACGTTGTCGAGCAACGGCGACCTTGCGCCACTTGCAACGTCTGAGCTCGAGGTATTTTTTTTTGTTTTTGGGTTTATTTTTTTACTATTTTTTTTTGTTTTATCTACTGTAGTACTGATTTTGATGCAGAAGTTTTATTATTAATCAAACATGTTTTAGTCTTAATTATTTAGGTTGATATTCATTTAATTTTATTGTATTATTATTATTATTTAGCTTTTGTAGTTGTGAAATTTTTGTTTTCTCATTTACATAACAAATTACGTCCCATATGCTTGGGAGAGCTGCAACATAATATGTATGAAGCTGTATATGTATGTTTTATGATGTTATTGAAACTAATCTCATCCAATACAATGAAAAAATCCTGGATTAACGTTAAGGATAATTTTATAAAATGAGTGTGTTAAAAAACTTGATTTTTAACAAAATTCTGTTTACAGGTTTTTGGTCTTGGAAACAAAACTTACGAGCATTACAATGAAATCGCCATTTACGTGGACCACCGATTGGAGCAACTTGGAGCCAATCGTGTCTTTGAACTTGGCCTTGGCGATGATGATGCCAAGTAAGTTGGAGAAAAAAAAATTAAATATCCGTATAAAATAGATATGCGTTTAGTAGTACACAAGAAAATGAAAAAAAAAATTAATTTTGTAGCATCGAAGATGACTTTATCACATGGAAAGAAAAATTCTGGCCAGCTGTGTGCGATTATTTCAATATCGAAGGTGCTGGTGAGGATGTTAGCATTCGCCAGTACAAACTTACCGAGCACAATGATATGCCGGTTGAAAAGATCTACACTGGCGAGTTAGCACGACTCCACTCATTGAAAAACCAGCGACCGTAAGTTCTTACAGATATTTTTATAGATTATCTTATCCTCTGTAAAAAAATTTCTCGATTGCATCATAGCTATTAAATCTTTGTTTGCAGTCCATTCGATGCCAAGAATCCTTTCCTTGCTCCGGTCAAGGTGAACCGCGAATTGCACGGACCTTCTTCCGACAGGTCTTGCATGCACATAGAATTCGACATCGAAGGATCAAAAATGCGCTACGAGGCCGGAGACCATTTGGCCGTTTACCCGGTCAATAACTCTGAGCTCGTTGACAAGATTGGCAAAAAATGTGGCGTTGATCTTGACACTGTCATTACTTTGACCAACACTGATGGTACGTTTTATTCTCTCCTCTTTCTCAATGAAATTATTTAAACTTACCTAATTTCAATGTTTCGACTTTACAGAGGAATCTACAAAGAAGCATCCTTTCCCCTGTCCTTGCACATATCGCACTGCTTTAACCCATTATTTGGATATTACCAGTAATCCTCGTACTCACGTATTGAAAGAGTTGGCGGAATATTGTTCCGATACTGCTGACAAAGAGAAGCTCAAGCTTATGGCATCTACAAGTGCCGAGGGCAAAGCTCTCTTCCAACAATGGGTCATCCAAGATAACAGAAATATCGTTCATATCTTGGAAGACGTAACAAGCCTGAAACCAGCTTTGGATCATCTGTGCGAATTGCTGCCTAGACTGCAGTGCCGTTACTACTCGATATCTTCTTCGCCTAAGGTATTCATATTTAATTATTGCATTGAATAGTTGTTGAGTACTTCTTTCATTTTTTTAATTTTAAATTCACGAAACTCCTTTTTCAGTTGCACCCCTCGGAAGTCCACATCACTGCTGTTGTTGTCGAGTACAAAACCTCGACTGGTCGTATCAACAAGGGTGTTACGACAACCTGGCTCAAGGAAAAGCATCCTTCTGATCCTTCATGTGTCGTACCGATTTTCGTGCGAAAATCGCAATTTCGCTTACCATCGCGTACTCACGTACCCATTGTTATGATTGGACCAGGAACTGGTCTTGCGCCGTTTAGAGGATTCATTCAAGAACGCGATATAGCTAAAAAGGACGGTATGTATTGAAGCTGCTTGATTTTTTTTTCAAGCTTACGCATTATTAAAAATTTATTAATAATTATTTTCAGGTAAAAATGTAGGCGACACAATTCTCTACTTTGGTTGTAGAAAGCGTGACGAAGATTTCCTCTACAAGGAAGAGCTGCAACAATACGTGGACAATGGAACTTTGATTCTACACACTGCTTTCAGTAGGGAGCAAGCAAACAAGGTCTACGTGACGCATTTACTCGAGAAGAACAAGGATGAGTTGTGGCGGGTGATTGGCGAACGAAATGGCCATATCTACGTTTGCGGGTAAGTTTTTTTCTTCCTGATACATCAAAACTATTAACATATTGATGATATAATTATTAATGACTTGTTGTAATTTTAAATAGTGATGCACGAAACATGGCACGTGACGTGCACAATATTCTGCTGAAAGTAGTAATGGAGAAGGGCAATATGACTGAGCTCCAGGCCGCCGATTATATCAAAAGGATGGACTCGCAGAAGCGCTACTCTAGTGATGTGTGGAGTTGAATTGGCCAAGCTAGGAAAGGAAAGAAACTGCAGAATGTGTCTTCTAAGCACAAAGAAACTCTGCATGTGTCGTTGCGAGTGCCTGAGTATCCCTCGATATCGCTCCTCACAAAAGTTTTTTTATATGAATATACACATGTCTATACTTAAAAAATCAACTATATCTTTTATATATATCTGTATAAATGTTGAAGATAACGCACATGGGACTTTTAAAAAGTCTGATGTATGTAATGTACTTGGTGACTGGAAGATCATGTTAGCCAATTTTACATTGTGATAATGTTGATTGGATGTTGTTAGATAGATCAATATTTTATTAACTCAATTGCAAGTAATGTTTAACATGAATAATAAATTCTTCCACATGCTCTTGCTAAGCATTACTTAGTCTGTTTCAAAATAATATGAAGCAATTATGACAAGTACTGTTTTTTAGTGAAAGAGAGTATATAAAATAGTATAAGAAAAAAGATGTGTTTTGAATTGACTTTGTATATTTTTTTGTTGGGATAGAGATATAAAATAATTTTTGTATAAAAATGTCAAAAGCAATGTAACACACATTTTTCTAGAAATGAAAAAAAATTTATTAGATGAATTTTATTGATTTAGTAATTTATATTGTTAAAGTAAGAAATATATTATTAAACACTACGTTTAAATGTACAAACCTCATTCGCCTTGCAATAGGTACATTATTCAATTATATTTAATATGTACATCGAATGCGTATTAATCAACTCTATTACAGACTGTCTTATAGTTTGCAATACATAAATGTAAAAAGTCTTTTGTAAAAGAAAAAAATCGCGTGCCACAATTGAAATAATTAAATACACAAAAAATAATTTTAATAAAGATAAACGAAATAATATGCAATTGTATTACTTATTTTCTCCCACAACCTTTGGAATTGTTCAAATTTGATGAGTGGGGTATAAAAAAAAACTTAATTTTCAAGTAAAGTGTTTTTTAGTTAGGTGCAACGTGCAGCCAAAAAAAAGCACATATAAAGCC